ATTTATTTATTTTTTTGTGTGTGGCCAGCTCAGCCCACCAGGGGGCGGGGCTGGCTGGCATGTGGTGCTGGGGGATTGAACCGTGGTCCCTGTGCTTTACCAAGCTTGTTCCAAGTAGGTGCGTTAGACCACTGAGCCATCTCGCCAGCCCTAATTACTTGTGTTTTATTAATGTTTGTTTAAAAGGTATCCATTGTAACTTACCCTTATTTGGCTATTGAGTGTACAAGGACGAGTTTTACAGATTGACAGAACCTACTGCATTTTAGGAATCTCAAAAAACGCACAACATATTACTTTTATTAGCTAAAAACAGGTTTTATTACAGAAACAAATTCTATTCCAAGTATAATAAATGTAATAACTACTAAATCACACAAGGTTTCCTTTAACTCATTTTTGGAATGCTTACAATAGAACATAATAAAAATATTTCACTTCAAAGTCTTGTTCTTTGAATCAAGGTTAACAGACATGAATTTCATACAAAAATTTAAAAAATTGCAACCTCTGGATAAATGGGCTAACTCCTAAATTATAGGACATTTCCTTTGGCCCAATTAGTTACATCATATTTTCCTTTTTCATGTTGTTTATTAACACACTATGCTATGTATTCTTTTGGGAGCTTAAGCTTTTCGAATCCCCCTGAGGCTTCACTGTTAAAAGTGGAGTCTCATATGTTTAATATGGCATGAGTTCAAATTTTCCATTACAACCTTCTTCCGCAGGAATCCAGTAAAACCATGTCCCTGAAACTTTATTATATGGACATATAACATCCTAGCTCTGCAGTCTCCTCTTTATTTTACATATTAATAATGGTTATGAGAAACGAACCTTAAACCTTGATATTTACAAGGACAATCGAATCCAAAAGTTAGAAAAATTTGAGTGACTTCACTTTCTTTGGCAATATTTCTACTTTTTGTTTATGACTTTTACTACTCTTTGAGATTAATGAGCTAGTAAAATTTATATTAAAAGGTATGGATTTGGTTAGAGTTTTAAAGAATAGCATTTGAAAGTTAGTTCAAGTAATGGTACAATACTCTAAAGAATTGGCAGATGAGAGTTCTCACATTTTATGAAAAATATTTTTGATCTGGAAAATTAGGGTTAAGATTAACAAATCAGAACAACAAAAAAAGTTAAGCCTGGAAAACAAACATTAGAGAAATTCTGAAAAACTGAAAAAAATTATGATAAAATTTGAGCAAAATTAGAAACACTTTAAAAACCCAAAAACCCCCACTAATAATAGACATAAATAATTTTATTACCTTCAGGTCGGTATTGTGCAACAATTGTTACAGCTTGGCCAGCATTTTTTAATGCAGCAGCTGCCTGCTCATGACTAGCAGCTCTGAGGTCAACACTATTTACCTGTAAATCAAATGAAATCTTAATTTGAGAGAAAATAATCATTTTGATTAAAAATCACAATGGCTTATTATTTGAGAAGGCACAGATTAGCTGTAATAATCTGACCACTGAACAGTACAAAAGTGTAAGTGATTTTAATACATTCACAATTACCACACTTAATTTCAAACTAATTCTAATATTTTATTTACTAAAAAGGGTGGGCAGGGAGATAGCTCAGTGGTGTTAGCACCCACCTAAGAAGCTCAAGGTCCTCAGTTCAATCCTCCATACTGGAGAAAAAAAAAAAAATCCATTTGCAGCTTCTATCCTCCCACCAAACACTGTAACTTTCCTTCTGACTAGATTTGGCTATTCTGCATATTTCAAATCAATGAGGCACTATAATACATGCCTTTTTTTTTTTTTTTTTTTTTTTTTTTTTGTGGCCAGCTCAGGCCACCCTAGGGGGCAGGGCTGGGCATGTGGTGCCAGGGATGGAACTGTGGTCCCTGGACTTCGCCTAAGCAGGCATTGAGCTATCTCTTCAGCCCCATTTTTTTTTTTTTAAATGTATTTAATACAGGGTCTACGGGGTCTCACTACACAGACTGAACTCATAGTGATCCTTCCATTTTCAGCCTCCCGAGCGCTGGGATTACAGGTGTGCACCACCATTCCTAGTCTCAATCACTGTTTCAGTGTACCCCGGGGGTGGAGCCGGCACTGTAAGCCTGGGATCAAATCCCAGTCCCTTCCACTTATGAAGTTTTTGATGAGAAAACAGCTGTTAATCATATTGAGGATCCTTCATGTACTTTTGCTGCTTTCAAGATTCTTTAGCTTTCGACAGTTTGATTACGATGTCTTTTTTTTCTTTTTGAGAGCACCAAATCCTAACCACTAGACCACCAGGAAGTTTTTTTTTTCTTTTTGAGATAGGGTCTCACTATACAGTTCAGACTGGCCTTGAGCTCTTGTCATAGCTCAGGCTGAGCTTGAATTCAAAACAATCTTTCTGCCTCAGCCTCCTAAATGTTAGGATTACAGGAGTGTGCCACCATGCCTCACTAATTATGATGTCTTTATGGCATGCATATCTTCAAGTTTATTCTACCTGGAGTTCACTGGATTTCTTTGGATGTATGTATAACAGTGATTTTCAAAAACTGTGCACGTTTCTGGTCATTATTATGCAATCTTGCTTGTATCCTTCCTGTTTTTTCAGGTATTCCTCTATTAAGCATATGTTGGTACACTAGGTGGTGCCCACAAGTCTTTGAGACATTATTCTTTTTTATTTTTATTTTTTGGTCTTTTTTTGAGACATTATTCTTCATTCTACTTCTGTTGTTCTTTGGCTTGGACAATCTCAATCTGTATTTAAATTTGCTCATTTTATTTTCTTCCCACTCAAATCTGCTATTGCGTTTGTGTAGAAAAATTTTCATGTTAGTTAATTTTTTCACTCCAGAATTTTTGTTTTGGTTCTTAACTCTTAATTTCCCTTCACTGCTACTTGGTAAGATACCATTCTAATACTTTCCTTTGATTTTTAAATATGGTTCCTTTAATTCTTTTGAAATATTTAAAATACTTGATTTAAAGTATTTGGTATGTCCAATGTCTGAAACTTCCTAGGACAATTTCTACTCATTGCTTTTTTCCTCTGAGCATGAGAATATCTTATTGTTTCCCTGCATTCTTCATAACTTTCTGGTTGAAAACTGGGCATGTCATTAATAATATGATTAACCCTGGATAACAGTTTCATCCCCCATTAGGGCTTATTACTGTTCCCATTATTGTTTGTTTAGCATTTTACTTGAATTCTACAAAGGCTGTATTCTTTGTCACAAGTAGCCTCTGAAGACAGGGCACGGTGGCGTGCGCCTGTAATCCCAGCTCTTAGGAGGCTGTAAACAGGTGGATCACTACGAGTCTGATCTAGTAGTGAGACCCTGAACGCCTTGTAGGACCTTCCCTAAAATACAAATACAAAAAGCAAAACAAAAAACCCTAAAAAACCAAAAAAACAAGTAGTCACTTAAGTTTCTGCCTGGTTGGTTTAGTGGAGATACTTTAAGTGTCTACAGCCAATGATGTTCCCATTCTTTTGGCAAAGGTTCTGTATGTAAATTTTAGGAATGCTTTTAACATTCCAAGAGTCACTGGCAATGCTACTACCTTACTCTTCATATTCTCCTTGCATAATATCTTAAATTCAGTGAGTTGACAGTTTGGGGCCTTTTAATACCCCCTCCCTGACAACTCTCCCAATCTGGTTGCTGAACCCAGGGCTTTTGCACTGAGCTACACTCCTAGTCATTTTGTTTTTTATTTTGAGGCAGGGTCTTGCTAAATTGCTACACTGCCCAGGCTGGGCCTAAACTTGAGAAACTCCTGTTTGTATCTCCAAAGAGTGCTAGGATTATAGGCGTGAAGTACGCTAGGCAAGTGCTCTACCAGTAAGCTATAAGACCCAAGACTTTAACATTTTATTTTGGGGCCAGGGAGATGGCTCAGTAGAATAAGCACTTCCCTGGCAAGCGCAAGGGCCTGAATTCAATCCCTGGTTCCGCAAAAAACCAAAACAACACAACACAAAAACAACAAAAAATTTTAAGACAGTGTCTCACTAAGCTGCTAGGGCTGAGAACTTACCCTTCTCTTACCCTGGTCCTCCTTCTGTGCAGCTGGGATTACAGGTGTGTGCCACCATGCTGGGATGGATTTTCAG